TGGTGAGCCTTGGAACTCGAAGTCCCACCCTCCTGAGGCCTCCAAGGAGCCCGTCGAGCACTTGGAAGGCCTAAGCCCCCTCACGCCAGAAGATCTGATCACTGTGAGTAAGTCCTACGCGACAGGTGCTGTCACAAGTGTGGATGGCTTCCACATGCGTCATTTTTCGATGTTGCAACCAGGCCTCCTGTCTGTTCTGTGCACGCTCTACTACATGATGGAGTGCACTGGGCTCATGGCCCACCAGACACAGGTATTGATCACTCTCCTCCTCGCCAAGCCAGCAGGAGGTTATCGGCCGATCGGCTTTTTTTCAGCGCATTATCGTTTGTGGGCGAGAGTTCGCCGCCCATGCGCCGAGCGATGGGAAGCCGATCATCAGCGGACTTACTTCGCAGCTGGTTCCTTTAACTTTGCCCTCGACGTAGTCTACAGGCAAGCCGTCAAACACGAACACTCGTTGGGGAAAGGAAAGGCGGTAGCTAAGATCCTCTGGGACCTCTACAAGTTCTATGAATCGATTCGGCTTCCCAAGCTCGCGGCGCGCTGTGAGGCCCAAAGTTCCCCCAAACAGATTTACAGGGTCTCGATGAAGGCCTACGGAGGTGCTCGGTTTATCTCTCTTGGGGGCCTTTTGCATGGCCCGCATGTCAGTGAGCATGGAATTGTTGCAGGGTGCAGTTTCGCTACAACGTACATTAGGGCATACGTTATCCCCACGATGGACCTCCTGAGGCTCCCCTACCAGGTTCAGCTCGACATCTACATAGACGACTACGGTATTTCTAGCAGTGGGTCTGGGAAGTCTGTAGTGTCTTCGCTGAAGTTGGCCTCTACCGAGCTGCTTATTGCCCTCGAAGAGGACATGGAGTCGCGTATTTCTGACGAGAAGGCAGCAGTTGTATCATCTGTCAATTGGGTCGGCCAGGCAGTCAAGTCTTTCTTGGGGAGGTACGGAGGACCTTCCGCTGATTGCCACGCTGCTATCAACCTTGGTATTGACGACGGCGCTGGTCAGGCGCGTCGTGCCAGAGGTCGTGGCCGCAAAGCTGTTGCTCGCTTTCGTGTTTTTCGTCAGAGAGTCAAGAGGGCCTTCAAATGTCGGCAGGCGCTTGGACGTCATTCTCGTACAATATTCGTGTCTGGGCCTGTATCCTCGGTTACGTATGGGGCGGCTGTCTTTGGGACGTCTGATCATGAAATGGGGCTCTTGAGGACTGGTTTCGGAAAGGCTGTCAAACCATCGGCTAGTTCGAGGTCACGACCCGTTATACCACGCTTCCATCGCTTTTATCGCTCGGTACTCCAGGGAGATTTGGGACGCCCAGGTTCAGCAGACTCCTTTCGCTCTAGGATTTCGCGAGCTTCGTGCAGCTTGGGAGCTTGTCTGGGCTAGCCCACCTACCTCGTGGCGCAGGGTGCGCGGCCCGATGCGCGCCATGTTTCTTTCGCTCAGCCGTATAGGCTGGTCCATGACATCCTTTGCGCAGCTGAAGAACGACCTTGGTGTCGAATATTCCCTGACCATCAATTCCCCCCAGCTCATCAAACAGTTGCTGCGCGAAGGAGTGGTCAGGATGCTATGTCGTGTTTCTGGTCAGAAGCCCGGTCTTCAAGGCCGTGCATGCTACGACGCTGTGATCAGAGACTTGCGCAGCTCGAAATACTCCTATTTCGAGAAGAGATGCATCCGTGCCAATGCCTGTGGGGCCTGTTGGACCCAGGAGAAAGCTTTGCCCCTCGGATGTCAAATCCCTGGGGTCCGTTGTTCTCTGTGTGGCAGCCCTTCGGACTCGATGTGGCACAGGTTATGGGTGTGTCCTGCGGTCGACGATCTCAGCAGGGAGCTTTGTGATCCCGAAGTGTTGCAGGCGAGTTCCGAGGTGGACTTAGCCACCGTCTCGAACGACCAGTTCGTGCTGTTCACGAAAGGTATCTTCACCCACCCCAGCGAGCACCTTCCGATGCCCTCCAGAGAATGCCCCCCGATGGTCCATTGGGAAGCTCCTCAGCATGATGATTCAGACGAGCAATTATTATCTGGGAGTGCTTTCTTCGACGGATCATGTAGGAAGCACGCAATTAAGGGACTAGCTGTATACGATAATAATAAGGATTTGCAGTGTGTCATGTGGGCCCCCCTCTGGGACAGGTTCCCCCAGACCTCCCAAGCGGCGGAGTTCCGGAGCCTGGCCTACGGGTCTTTGTGCCTCCTTGGGCCCTCTGAAGGTTTCAGCGATCGTCTCAATGTTTGCAAAGCTTTTCTTTTGGAGAGGCCCAAGCGTCTCTCCTACAAGCGGCCTTATTCTGGGTTAGTGACTAATACCCTTCAGTCTAAATTGACCAGTCTTCACAAGGTGAAGGCCCACGTTGCGGATTTCCCAGATTTAACGGCCGATCAGCGCTTTTTCAAGCTTGGTAATGGCGAGGCCGACAGAGCGGCCAAGCGAGGAGTGGACATGCACGCCAAAGGTTCTCAGGCCGAACTTGATCTTGTAGACTGGCAACTCAAAGTTGCCAAGAGCGTCGGCCTGCTGGCAGCCCGTCTCCTCCCGTCTTGGCCTAGACTCAACCTTGACGGAGTTGATGTTATCGCCCCTGCCCGTGTGTTGGAGCTGCCGCCCCCTCCTGCGGAGCAGTATCAGCATGAGTGGATGTGGTGTGCCACTTTCTGGCGATGCAGCGTCTGTCTCCGTAGCCGCAGACAGTCTGCGAAGCCTGATCTTTCAGGGTGCTCGGGCCAGCTCCCTGACGTGGCCCTTTCCACGCGGGATAAGGGCCACGTTATCACGGCCCTTCGTTGTTCGAATCGAAGCATGCTTTATTTTTGTCATCTCTGCTGCGGGCACAGCTGCGGTGGAAGATTCAAGAAGCTCAGTGAGTCTTGTATCCGAGAGCCCGAGGGGCCCAGGAAGTCAAAGTGCGCGTCCTCGGTCTTGAGGGCGCTGCGGAGGGGGGGACATCCCAGGCTGGCTGGAGTGTTTTGTGAGGTGTTTGACCCTGCCGCCGAAGCGAGCGAGTCTGAGGCTGGCGATCGGGCCGAGCCTGTCGGGTCTGCTCAGGGCCGCAGACCGCTTCGGGGGGAGGGCGAGCACGCTCCAGACCAACGACCCTTTTCAGACAGCTCGGACTGACCGCACCAGGCGGGTAAACTAGTCCGAGTTTTTTCTTAACTCAACCCGAGCTGGCTCGGGTTCAGGTTGCTTGTCAAAAAATGTTCTCTCTCTTTTTCGTGTCGGAAGGGGCAGGAGGTGAGTTTGCGAGGCCTGAGCGGGGGCGAGCGAGCCAGCGAGTGGCGGGCCGTTTGCGGTAGCGGTGCTGTTCATGTCCGCTCGCCAGACATAGGCGCTGACCTCCATCGCATTTTCCCGACCCGGCTTGCGAGTTCAAGCATGCTCGGACGATGGAAACCTCAGGAGGGCACACTCTCTCGGCCGAAGGCGAGATCGCGGAGATGCGCGAGGGCGCCTGGGGACGACGACGCAGCGGAGCCTCGCGCCTGATCCACGAACCCCCAGATGCAGTCACGCATGAAATCTCCGGATCGTCTTTCCGATGCCCGGTGTCGATGTGCACGTTGGCGATATTAAGAAAGCTTTCTGCCAGAGTGACAAGCTGCACCGCCTCCGTGGCAGGGTCTTCGTCGAACCCTGCGATGGGCTTCAGTTCCCCCCCCGGCTCTTTGATAGAGCTTCTCGTTCTCCCGTTTGGAGCTTGACGATGCCCCATCGGCCCTTCGCACAACGATTCACGATTTCATGACCAAGGAGAGGCATCAGAAAGCTAGCGCGGAACCATGCTGGTTTGTTGAGCGGTCAGGAGGATGTCTCAGGTCCCATGTCATTGTTGACGTCAACGACCGACTGATCGCGGTGGCTCCGGACATCGCGGAAGATTGGATCGCTCGGTTCATTGGACGGTTTAAGTTTGGCAAGTTGAAACAGGTGAACCAGAATGGGGTTGATTTTTAGGTAGGTGCTTCCGTCGGATGCACGACCGCGTGCTTATTGACCAGGAGAAGTGCATCCTTGAGAAGCTGCACAAGGCTGAGTTGCCCAGAGAGCGACGCAATAACCACTTGAATACCCTCCTTCCCCACGACCTCGACGAAACCAGGTCTTTGATCTGTCGTCTCAACTGGATCGGCAGGGTCCTTGCCTGCGTTCGGCGTTTCAACCCCTCCCTTTCCCCTGGGTTTTGACCGGGGCGGCGGGGCCAAACAGGTGGTGTACAGTCGGGGGATGGGCAGGAAATCGCGCGCCGAGGCGGCGGGTGATGCCTCAATGCTCCATCCCTTTCCCGGCGAATTGTCGTAATTTGGCGGGGCACGTTCAAGTCACACAACACCGAACCATTCTAGAGTTCAAGAAATTGGGTGGGGTGACGATGTATGGTGCACCCATGTTACATTAAAGGTGGTACATTTGCTCGTATCACGAACGTGATTTGGGCCCGACTGGCGACTGGCAGCCATATTTGCCAACGAGAGCCTTGTGGAAAATAAACAGGGCGACGGCGTGGATCCCCGACAGGGTCTGGATCAATGCAAGCGCTGTTGGGGGGTCGGGTGCTGCGTGGACCCTAGACAGGATTGCTTAAGTACAAGCGCTGTTTGGTCGGGTGCCGTCATCGTCGTCGTCGTTGTCGTTTTCCGCCTGCTTCCTTTCCTCTTGCCTCCCGCAGACAGAGAGTGTGCGGACGACGAGAATTGCTTGCACAGTGCTTGCACGAAGGCGCATTGCTCCGCAACTGTATTGGCCCAGGGCACCAACTGTACTGGTCCAAAGCACCGCTGTATGTTTGGTTTGTTGGAAAACCTGCTGCCATATGGCCATCGTGTCCACACCTAGGGCAATGAGAGATGTTAGATTCATACTCGTCCTGGCTTCGTCTTGGCCTCGAGGGTGGCGCGTCTCAACTGGATCGGCAGGGTCCTTGCCTGCGTTCGGCGTTTCAACCCCGCCCTTTCCCCTGGGTTTTGACCGGGGCGGCGGGGCCAGACAGGTGGTGTACAGTCGGGGGATGGGCAGGAAATCGCGCGCCGAGGCGGCGGGTGATGCCTCAATGCTCCGTTCCTTTCCCGGCGAACTGTCGTAATTTGGCGGGGCACGTTCAAGTCACACAGCACCGAACCATTCTAGAGTTCAAGAAATTGGGTGGGGTGACGATGTATGGTGCACCCATGTTACATTAAAGGTGATACATTTGCTCGTATCACGAACGTGATTGTTTGGGCCCGACTGGCGACTGGCAGCCATATTTGCCAACGAGAGCCCTGTGGAAAATAAACAGGGCGACGGCGTGGATCCCCGACAGGGTCCGGATCAGTGCAAGCGCTGTTGGGGGGTAGGGTGCTGCGTGGACCCTAGACAGGATTGCTTAAGTACAAGCGCTGTTTGGTCGGGTGCCGTCATCGTCGTCGTCGTTGTCGTTTTCCGCCTGCTTCCTTTCCTCTTGCCTCCCGCAGACAGAGAGTGTGCGGACGACGAGAATTGCTTGCACAGTGCTTGCACGAAGGCGCATTGCTCCGCAACTGTATTGGCCCAGGGCACCAACTGTACTGGTCCAAAGCACCTCTGTATGTTTGGTTTGTTGGAAAACCTGCTGCCATATGGCCATCGTGTCCACACCTAGGGCAATGAGAGATGTTAGATTCATACTCGTCCTGGCTTCGTCTTGGCCTCGAGGGTGGCGCGGGGGCCCCCAGGCGGAGCGCGCTGCTCGGGGCCTTCTCCCTTCTCTTGGGTCCCCTGTCCTCCGGGCCCAGGCTGCCTGCTGCGCTGTCGGTGTCGGCCGGTCAGGGTCTCGCTGTCGGTTCGGCTGGTTTGGGGCTTTGGTGTGGCCGTGGACGGCGTCTGCTCCGATTCGGCGCAACGTGCGTCAGGAGGGAAACACACAAACGCAAATGGTCGTCGAGTCCGAGGAAGATTTCAGAAAATTGGGCAAGAGGGGGGAAGAAACACAATCAGAAAATAACCGACAACCCCTGATAATAGCACCCGGGGGACAATCAAGTTCTGGGTCCAGCGGGGGTATTAAACGATGTCTCCCGGCAACACGACGACGACGACGACGGGCTGAGAAAGTGAGAATACCATAGCCCTGCCACACGTTCGTGACTTGGGAAAGCTGAAGTGGTGAGAATTCCGTAGCCCTGCAACACGTTCGTGACTTCCGAAAGCTGAAATGGTGAGACCCCCATTGCCATGCCACACGTACACAGGGAGACTGCAACTTGGATTCGCAATTTCCCCCACGATCATAAAGTTCGGTTTTGCCGCCCCTCTCCCCCGACCAACTCTGTATTGGCCAGGGATAGCCAACTCTCAGCTGGGAAGGGGGGGATGATTTATTGTCCGGGGCTCGCCGTTATGGAAACAGATTCGGAATTTCGGGTTTTGTGTTTTTGTTTATGTGTGTGTGTGTCCCTGGCGTACCTTTTCCTGCACTTCAACTTCGGCACCGCCTGATCCCAGGGTTTCGCCCTCTCTCGGCCTTGACGTGAGGCCCCGCCTTCTTTTGCCCTCCCTCTGCTAATTAAAGCTGTGCGCTTCCCGCTTAGCTTCTATCGGAAGAGGTTCGCTCTCGCCCCGCAGATCAAAAAGTGTGTGTGTGTGTCCCTGGGCCCGGTCGGTTTGGGGGGGAAGGGCTCAGGGGCTCAGGGGGGATGCATCGAAATCCCAATCGCCCACTCATCGCTGGGAGGGGGCCCAATAGCCCGCCCCGTCCAGGAACGTGCAGTGTCGCCTGTATCGCCGCTCTACCGGCGATGTATCGCCGATTCTAGCTTGATGTTCCCTTTTCCCCACACCTACCATACGCAGTTGGGAATACCGCCGTTGTGAGAACTGCCCTCGGTGGAGCTCCTTATGGGCACGAAGCGCGCGAAGTGTGCGCCACAATGGGGCGGGGCCGCCATGCGTGCGCTGCAGCCGGGGCCTTCGGTGGAGTTCTCTATGGGGCCACGAAGCGTAGGCGGGGTGTGCCAACGTCGAAGGGAAGCGGCATGCAAACCATGCTACGGTGGCCTTCGGTTGAGCTTCCCATTGGGCCACGAAATGTGTGAGGGGGTGTGCCAAAATGGAAATGGGGAGGGCGGCATGCGAACCATGCCACTGGGGCCTTCGGTGGAGCTCCCTTTGTGGCCACGAAACGTGTGAGGGGTTTACCAAAGTGGAGGGGAAGGACGCCATGCGAACCATGCCACTGGGGCCTTCGGTAGAGCTCCCTGTGGGGCCACGGAACGTGCGAGGGGTGTGTCAAAATTGAAGGGGGGGCGGCATGCGAACCATGCCACTGAGGCCGTCGGTGGAGCTCCCTATGGGGCCACGAAACGTGCGAGGCGTGTGCTAAAGTGGAGGGGAGGGGCGCCATGCGAGCCATGCCATTGGAGCATTCGGTGGAGCTCCCTGTGGGGCCACGGAACGTGTGAGGGGTGTGCCAAAATGGAAGTGGGGGGGCGGCATGCGAGCCATGCCAGTGGGGCCTTCGGTGGAGCTCACTATGGGGCCACGAAGCGTATGAGGGGTGTGCCAAAGTGGAGGGGTGTTGACATGCGAACCATGCCACTGGGGCATTATGTGGAGCTCCCTTTGTAACCACGAAACGTGTGAAGTGAGTGTGTGTGTGTGTGTGAGTGTGCGTGCGTGTGCCAAAGTTGAGAGGGGCGGCATGCGAACCATGCTGCGGGTGCCTTCGGTGGAGCTTCCTAATCATGGGGCCGCGAAGCGTGTGAGTGGTATGCCAAAGTGAGGGGGGTGACGGGAGGAGGGAGGAGGAGGAGGAGGAGAAGGAGGAGGAGGAGGAGAAGGAGGAGGAGGATGAGGAGGAGAGGAGGAGGAGGAGGAGGAGAGGAGTGGACGTGAGGACTGTCTCTTCAAAACGAGGACCCAACACCACAGGATGGTTTGGAGAAACTGTGTCCATCCAGCACTACCAGTGGACTGGGAGCCATGCTTTTCGAAGACTTCAGAAATACGTCAGGTGCCCAGGTCTCAAGCCCCAGGCTGAGAGGGTGAGAGTGCGAGAGAAGGAGATACACGTATATATGGAGAGAGGGAGAGAGAGCGAGAGAGAGAGAGAGTGAGAGAGAGAGATAGAGAGAGAGAGAGAGAACGAGAGAGAGTATGTTCTACCCGCATCACATGAGCAGCGGCGCGCCCGCGCCACCGTCCGCCACTCCTCGGTGCTATGAGCGCGGCCTGGGCACCAGGAGAGCTCGAAGCTAAAGATGGTTGCAGCAGGGATCGGAGAGGGATAGTTACTTGGGCATTGTTTTTCAATGGGTGGGAAGGAGAGAGGGAGAGAGAGAGAGAGAGAGAGAGACCCTGATCAACACGCGCACTGGGGGGCTCACCAGGGCTCACGTGCTTCATCCAGTAGCACTCACCTCACCAACCAGCTCTCAAAAAAGTAGACTGCCGACGAGGACACCTTTCTCACAGACTCGGAAATGAATCGGTGGTCACCCTAATTGTATACAGAGATAGGCACACCAGTCGTATCTAGAAAGTTCTGCAACTGCATCGCCTCCGCTGTACCCATAATACTTTGAAGACCAGCAAAGTAACTCCCCAAAAGAAACCAGTACATTCAGCACGTTCCTGGAGATCATGAAATCAAATGCCCTCGTCTTGGATGATCGATAGGAGCATGTCTGCTTGGCCCTGCGGCTCGTCTGGCACTTTGACACCAGCACTCTTGAGCACCTTGTTCACATTCCCGACGATGTTCTTCTTCTTGATAGACTTCAGCACGGCCTTGATCAGTACTTCTTTGCTGCCCGATGATTTGACCTTGAACTCATTGCTCAGGATCGACTGGAGCCAACCACACTCCGACCTAGAAAGAAACTCGCTGGCCCCACCACGGCTCTGACGGCGCCGGCCACCGCCATCAGAACGACCACGAACGTCGTCACCTCCATCGCTGTCAGCTTCATCACGTGGCGTGCCAACCGTGGGGGCAAAGTGCCCCGTGCTCTTCTGGACCGTCTGCAAGCCCTTGAGGTGCTCCGTGACAGAAGACTGGAGGGCGGCTGCAAGGGCTTGCCCCTGAGCGCGGAGGTCACGCTCCTTGGCCGCCTGCTCACGTTCCTTTATCATCTGTGCGTGCTCTGAATCAGCTGCTGCAAGCTGACGGCGAAGAGATTCCACACGAAACTCCTTGGCCTCGTCCTCGGTGGCAAAGGGATGCCACGCGGGAGGAGACCATGGCGACGAACTGCCACTCCATGGAATCGGATATGGGCTCGAATATGGGCCTACCTGCCAACCTTTGCTTTTGCCCTTCCCCTTGCTGAAGTCGCGCTCGAGAGGCGGGCGCTCATCCCACGAACTCGCGCGGCCAGGTGAGCGGCCTCGCCCCATGTCGGGAGGGTCCTGAAGTCGCTGCCACCGCAGAAAATGAAATCGAACCTTTTGAGCCGTAATAGACCACGGTAAGCGAAAGATAAAGGCACGAAGAAGAGGAAGGGGATATCCCATGAGAAACATTTCCAGCACTGCCTCCAGAATCCACACTGCGGCGAGCGACGGGGAGAGACGCATCATGCGAGAGCGAGCCAGGCGACCAGCCAGGACCCCGTATAACATCCCAAAGGCCCTCGGAAGAACACCAGGCCACGGAATGATGGTACTCGGTTCGCGCCGTTTGGAAACATCAAAAAGCCATTCACGGTTCGGATTCTTGGGCGCCCAGATGAAGGTATTACCAGAATTCTGAATACGAAGATCTAGCCACGTAACCTCTGAACATTGCAAGGATGGGTCCGAAGCTAGGGAAAACGATACATACTCTGTAGTCCGTGTAAACAACGCTGCACACGAATGGCAATAGGATGGACTCAGCGTAATAACGTCATCGACGAAGCGAAGTAACCCAATATCGAATTTACCATTAAACATTCTCTGGAAACCCAAACGTGTGAAGCGGTCTGGATCCAAGCCCGACTGGAACTCCTGAGCCCCCAAGAGCGCACGGAGGCCCACACCCGAGAGCACGCCGCCGATGGGAAGCCCTTGGAGCTCAAACACAAGGCCCACCAC